CTCCTTAGTGTGAGTGAAGTCCATCGGAATGAGTGGAACATTATCTCAGCCTTACTTTATTCCAGTCATCAGTTAAATAAGTAGACTGGAAACATATATACATATAGCCCATTAGCCCAAAGAGTCTGTGAGTGAGATGTCTGGACGAGGGGAAGGGCAAGAAAAAGCGGTTTGTAGTTGAGTATTTCATCCATTGCCAGGCTCTCCAAGCTGGCTTCTCAGCCACGGGCAGTTTTGTCTCACAGGGGCACATTTGGCTCAGTCTGGAGATGTTTTTTGGCTGTCAATTGGGGCTTGAGAGCAAGAGACCGGGGATGTTACCAAAGTTACAATGCATTGGACAACCCCCAGAACAAAGACTTACCCAGCTAAAAATGCCTTAAGTGCCACACAGTTGAAGAAGCCCTCCTTGGAGTCATGCCCTAGGTTCAATTCCTAGGTCTAGTCCTGGTTGAGTGATCTTGAGTGAGCTGCTGACTGCCTTTGCCTTGGCTTTTCATCTGTAGGACGGGGTTCACGAGGACCCGCCTCATGGGATTATTTTGCAGATTCAGTGACGGGAGTCAGGGTGCCAAGGGAGTGGTTCATCGCAATGAATACTTTATACATTTGGCTATTTATCACTTTTCTATTCACTTCATTTTCCTAATGTTCACTTTTTCACTGTTTCCAAAGCAAGTCCTTTGAAGTGGCTCTATTATTATCCAACTTTACATACTAGAAAACTAGCACTTCGAAAAGGGAAGTGGCTTGACTAGACCTCCGAGCTGAGAATGAAGTCATTTAGGTTCATATCCACATCTCTCACTGCCTGTTTCCTCTTTTCATGATTGTTTTTTTGTTTTGTTTTTTGGTGGGAGCCCTGGTGGTATAGTGAGTTACATGTTGGACTGCTAACTGCGAGGTCAGTTGTTCAAAGCCATGAATCACTCCTTAGGAGAAAGATGAGGCTCTCTGCTCCCAGTAAAGACTTGGAGCCTCAAAAACCCACGGGGGCAGTTCCACTCTGTCCTATGATTCCATACCGACTCATTGGTAAATGAGATTAATCTTATTATCTCAGTCTATTCCCCACTAAAGGAAAGAGGACTGCCCTATGGGTATCAGGGAATGTCAGCCATAACCCTGAGAGGGGGTATATCTATATAACTGGGGTAGGGAGTAACCCTGGACTTTGTTCTTGCTTTGTTACTAGACCAGAAACAAGTGGTTGGATAAAGGGAGGAGCTTAGTTTAGGCAGGGTGAGGTGTGTGACACTAGGGGACTAGGCATTTCACAGCAGGGACTGAAACTGAAGGCAATCAAACTTGGAAGGAGAATAATTATAATTACGGTTCTGAAGGCTCTCTTGGCTGCTTCCCTCGGGACAGAATAGCCACATCGGCTCTCTCAGCTCGGGCTGAGCTACAGCACTGCTGCAGCCAGATCAGCAGTAGCTGGGTTGGGTACCGAGGCAAGACATTTAGTGGAGTAACTCATCCTCCCCTAAGGAAAACATGCAAGGAGAATTGAATTGGCCTGGGCACCAGAGGCCTGAAGTCGGGAATCTTTACTTGGCTGCTCCTTTACTGTGTGACCTTGCAGGAACAATCGCCCTGTCTGCCTGGCAAAGCTGGGAATGAGAACCTAGGTCTGACTCCAAAGTTGTACTAGCTTTTACAACTCTGGGAGCCATCCGTATGTCTATATCTGGAAAGTGGTTGCTAGCCAGACATAAGAAAATTACAAGGCAGTCCATGCCCAGCTCCTATGACGCTTGTGCCCATTGGGAGAAGAGTTAGATTTAAGAATCATCCCCAAGTGCCTTTACCAACCTCTGCCACATCAGCCAGGGAACCAGACAACAGATCTTTTGAGTCTGGATGGTTTTATGGCTTGGAGTCAACACACTACGATTTGATAGCCCCCTCCCTTTCTACCCCCAATTCAACTACTTACTGAAACTTTGCACAGGTTCTCCTCTCTGAGCCTCTCGCTTATAGAGAAGCTAGCCTGTGCAGCTACCATGAGAGGGGAGCTCATGTATAAAAGGTGCCGAGCACTCACAAATGGCTGTTACTTACCGAGAACAAGGCCATGGTGGAAGGGAGCGGCACTGTTTTGTCAGATTTCATTGACCCTAGAATTCCTACCCCACCATTTGTCCATTTCCCAGGATCCTTTCATGAAAACAGCATGACTGGGTGAGCCCGTGTTAACTGCACAGCAAGGAATTGCAGGAGTGATGAGAGGATTTGGAGGTGCCCCACAAGGAGGCTGCTGGTTTTCCCACTGGCCTGTATTCTCTGCCACCCGCTGTTTGTGGAATATGCAAGGCACCCTTCCTAGCTCCTTCATTCTAGAGAAAGACAGAGACCGCTGCTGTACAAGCACTTTCCTTGCAAACCCTCCTGGTTGTTTTATGTATCCCATATGGGATATACAGTTTAGGGTCATGCTTGTTCAGGCCCCTACTTCTTGAGTGTTAGCTTTTCTTCAGGAGCCTTAAGTGCCCTGCATATTCTATATTGCACCAGAATCCTCTCCTCCACACGGGGCTGGTGAGTGTCAAGTGGTGACCACACCAACTTCCTGAAAATGAGTCTTATTGGCCACCCCCAGAGAATGGCTACAGATGGCATGGTGATGGTTATGTGCTTGATTAGCAGTCCCTGAATTGCAGGAAATATAAATAGTTTTGAAAGCCAGTGTGAAAGGAGATGTGATAAACCTTCCAAAAAAGGAAGAGGGGGTGGGAAAAAAAAAAGATAACAAACAGTGCAGCAAGGAGAGTGTGCTAATAGTAGGAGAGCCCTTTATGTCCTGTGAAAAGAAGCCTAGTACTATTTTATGTGTTTTCTACATTTCCGGTGACTAGCTCTTCTTATATAGGCTTTTCACTCAAAATTATATCCCTATTCCCTTTTATAGCACCCAACACATAGGTGCTCAGTCTGTATTTTCTTAATTGCTTAATTGAGGTTCTTTAGTTTTGCTCATGGTTTGGGTCCCCAGCATGATATGCTATGAATATGAGAAAGAAGCTAGCCCTAGAGAATGACCCCATGGTGGGAACTGAAACATGGGATGACGAATGATGAAGAATTTGAAACTTGGTCTCGGGGAGGAGATGAGCCAGTCAGGATGCGATGTAACAATGCTGAGAAATACAACCTTCCTCTAGTTCCTAAAGGTTTCCTCCCCGCTCCCACTATCATGACTCGAATTCTGTCTTGCGAGACTGGCTAGACCAGAGGAGGTACACTGGTACAGATAGGAACTGAAAATACAGGGAATCCAGGATGGATGAGCCCTATAGGACCAGTGGTGTGAGTGGCAAAACAGGGAGGGCAAAGGGAGAATGGGTAAGAAAGAGGGAACCGATTACATGGAACTGTGTGTGACCTCCTCCCTGGGGGACAGACAACCGAAAAGTGGATGAAGGGAGAAGTCGGACAGGGCAAGATACGACAAAATACCCATTTATAAACAATCAAGGGCTCATGTGGGAGGGAGGAACGGGGAGGGAGGGGAAAAATGAGGACCTAATGTCGGGGGTTTAAATGGAGAGAAAATGTTTTGAGAAATGATGTACAAATACGCTTTACACAATTGATGTGTGTATGGATTGGGATAACAGTTGTATGAGCCCCTAATAAAATGCTTAAAAAAAATAAATAAATAATAGAATCTTAAAAAAAAAAAAAGAATTTGAAACTTAGATTATCGCTAGTGCTTTGCTTCTTAGATAGGGACAACAACCTCCAGGGACAGCTCAGGATTTTCATTACTGAAATGTATATATCTGATGTGGAGTCCTGGTGGTGCAGCCAGTCAAGCATTTGACAGCTAAACTCAGGTAGGATCAGTTGTTCAGACTCACCAACTAGCTGTTTTGCATGAGAAAGATGAGGCTGTCTACACCTATGAAGCTTTAAGGCCTCGAAAACCCTATGGAGACGTTGTACTCAGACCTGTAGGGTCTCTAGGAGTCGGAATCCGTTTGGTGGCAGTGGGTTTTGACTGGCTTTTTTGGTAACTGTCTGGCACAGTTGGCTCATTGAGAGGTGCCTTCCTTCCTTTTCAGAGGCTGGGTCTTGGAGTAGCTGCTGGGACTACTGCTGCTACCACCACTATGATTATTCTTGCGACTTAAAGCTATTACTTACTGCACCGCTCATTGTTCCTGGCTCATTACTGTGCTTATGCTTTATGCACATAATCTCATCAGATTTTTATAATCACTGTGTGAGGGAGGTGCGACTGTAAGGCTCCTGTTCATGGATTAGCAAACACAGAACAGAAGTTGTGAAGTCGCTTTCCCAACCTTGCACAGTAAGTGCTAGGGGAGGGACTCAAATCCAAAAAGCCCAAGGCCTATATTTTCAGTCTTAGTTCTGTGATAGGATTTATGAGGTCTGGGTTTCTTTCTCTTGATCCCAGTTTCCTCATCTGTGCAATGGGGAGATTGACTTGCGATCGCTTCTTAGCCAATTATTCCATATTTAGTGCCTCCTAGACTGAGCTGCAGCTGCTAGTTCTTGTAGTAAGAGACATTCTGGGTCCCCTTGCCCTTCAGGGTTTATTTAGCGTCTTCAGTCACATCCCTCCAAAGCTGACCGGTCCTTTCATTGATCGTTACGTACTTGTATGCTCTGGAAGGAAAGGCTGTTCACGGCATTTATCCCTAGTGAACACAGCAGCCTTTTTATAAATGAAAAACAAACAACCCCCCGTGACAGGTTTAGAGAATTAGCTTGCCTACGATCCCACAACTAGTAAAACTCTGAAACCAGTTCTGTCTGAATCGTTAGGGTTTGGTTTGCACTACCTCTCTCTGGCTAATTTCACAGACTGGAAAAATCTGTGGTGCCCAATACTGGCTGATCAGGCTGGAGTACAAGTAGAGAGCCTGAGCGTGGTGTGCGGGTGGACCTAGCTTCAGGAGTAGATCCACCTGTGGAATTGAAGAGCTGAGCTGGTCTCAGGGGCGTGCAGTATTGACCACTAGATCAAAGGGATGGGAGTAGGGTTGGACTGAAGTCAGGAAATTAGGTGGGAGGGCAGGGGTTGAGTGTATGAAGTGTGCCACAGGAACTAAGCTCAGGGGACCAGGAAGATCATGCCATAGCATGTAAGGAGCACATTCTGCCAATAGCAAATTGGGCAGCTAGCAGGAAACAAGCAACTTGAAAGAGCTGGGATGGTAAGATCATTCTTTTTTTCTGTCTAGTCTTTTTAGGGAAACTTTGGTCAAATTGAGTTTGTATGCAGGTCATTCACCAATACCAGTGGTGCCCTTCGGAGCAGAGAGGCTGTATCTGTCGTGTAGCTCCGATTCAGGCTGGGGCCTTGCAGGAAGCATGTTCCAGGCCTGGGAAATGGCAGAAGTGGCTGTGGTTTTTCTCTGCCTGCGTCTGTCTTGGGGCCTGACGTTTTAGTGATGGTTCCCTGGCACAACGTGGCAGCTTCAGGGCAGGACTTTGTGGCATTTTCCTTCGTCTCAGAGCTGGTGGGGTTACATACAGCTGAGATAATAATTTGGGGTATGGATGTGGGCACAGTAAATTCTTTTTTTTTTTTTTTAAGTGGATGGCTTAGACAAGGAGGCAAGAAGCTTTTGAACTGAAGGAGGTGGGATGATTTTCCAGAAAGCCGAATTTTCTGGTATTTTTACAAGTTGGCAGCCTTGTTTACTTAGATGCTCTGCAGTGCCAGCGTTGAGAAGAACAGATGTCTCTGTGCATTGTAAGGTAACATACTGTTGGTCCAACACCAAACAGGGGCCTCAGTTGGTGTCTCAGATGATGGAAGAGAAAGCTGAAACTATTGGTTTAGATTTGACATTGTGCACACGGATTTTGAGTGAGGTTTCTGTCAGTATTTTTATACCATTGCCTCCAGCCCGTGGGGGTTTAAGAGTTGTGAGTACACGTTCACATCTTCCCCAGAGACTCCGTATTTTCATAACATGTGGTAATATTTGTTACTTCACTGAGACATGGGTTTGTGTCGTGATGGCTTCTTGCAAGGCTAGGGTGGGAGTGTGCCACCGAGCTAATGAATCATGGGAACCCAGCCATAGCAGCTGACTCTCAGAACAATATCATTGCTCCCTTCTTCTTTGTCCAGAAAGTGATATGTAAAAAAGAGCACTTCTCAGAGGATAGTCTAAGGAGCACTATCTAATTAGTGGTAAGTGACAATTGAAAAACCAAACAAACAACAGCTGTACATAATGTTGGGTCGAGCAAAGTTAAAGCTAGCTGTATTGCAAGTTTGCTGACAACTTTGCTATTACGATCTTGTATTATTTTGAAGAGAGAAACTGACATTTGCCATTTTCTCCAACCTATTTGACCAAAGCAGAAGCCCATGCAAGCAGCGAGGGAGGACTGAGCGTAGGTTAACTATGCATGTCTGCTGTTGAGTGTTTTCGAGATTGCACGTTCTTGGGTGTGAGGAGGGCTGAGTTGACCCCTGTGCCTCACCTTGCTATCCCTGGCCATTCTAATCTGGGGTATACTTTGACAGTGACATAGGGTTGCAGAACACCGAGGTCCTTTGTGGCTCTAACTCACAGGTGTGGTAGAGCCAGCCCTAAGGGAGCAATGTCCGGAGTGCATAGGGATTGGGCTGGGTTAGGGTATTCCAGCTGTGCACTGAGTCAAGCAGGCGGTGCCCTAGGCTAAATCTAATGTCGTGATAAAACACTACCAGGTTTTAAATCATCTTCGCTCTTCCCCTGTCTCCTCCCTCCCACCAGCCCACTCAGCTTTCAAATCTTACTGATTGCACTTGTGGAGTAATATCCAAAGGCTTCTCCTTTCCGTTTCCACGACCTGCTCCCTAGTTCAGGCTGCACATTATGCCTCCTACATGATTTTGTAGTAGCTTCCAATCTAGTTTCTCTGATTTTTTTTTTTATCCCCTCATATTTTCTAGTATGGCGGTTCCCTGTCATAAAATATTCACTGCCTCACCGGGCCCTTCAGAATGAAGTTCAGAACTCATTTGGGCTCTGAAGATGTTTTATAATCATTCCCTCGTTTTCCGTTCCTAATTTGTTACTCTTTCCCTCTTGTATACTCCAAACAGTTTGACTTGGGAACTAGAGAAGAGAGCTAGAATTAACTGACTTTTCTGCTGCTGAATCAAATGTTAGCATTCTGAACCCCACGTACATTATCCCACTTTATCTTTACATCAGCCCCATGAAAGTGAGGGTTTTCTTCTCTTCCTGATGCCATGCATTTCTTGCTCTTTGCCCTGTTTCCAGTCTGTGAAAAGTCTTGCCCTCTGCCTGGGACAATGACATAGTGCTGCAGAGCACCTTCTCCCGTCTCTCCACCTTTCTGTATGCTCTCTTGACCCACAGCAAATGCCATCTCCCTCCAAAAAGCCTGTCTGCCTTCAAATTAGAATGTCACGCTCCGTGTTCATCCAGCGTAGTTAATTCTATTTCATGTGTGATAACAACTTTCTCCTTTGGCAATTATTTATTCACATGTCTGTGCTCAAGTTTGAGCATATGAAGGTCAGGACTTGTGTCCTGAAAACTTCTGAATACCCAGTCAACTTGGGTGGATGTAGGTAGAATAGATGAACACACACACGCGCACACACACACATTTTCTAATCTAATGCATTGTTGATCACTTACAATTATCATAGCTTCCTGTTGCTCAGGATATAGGCTCCCGAATAAGCCAACATAAACCCCTAGACCTCCATGGTTTTACTTATGCAGCTTCCTTTGCCTACAATGCCTTTGTCCCTTACTGTCTTTCCCTCTTTTTCAAGAGAGCTCAAGTGTCTCCATTTCTCCGATGCCTTTCCCACTTCTGCTTGGCAGTTAGTTACTCCATCGCTTGATTGTACCCCCGCTATTGCTAATCTTTTTCTATAGGTGATTTTTCTGTGCTTCCAATAACACCTGTAAGCTTTCAAACACAGTGAAAATAAGTGCTAACATTTATTGCAAGCACACTACGTGGTAAGTGCACCATACTCTTCACACCCTCTAACATAGTTTTGCCCAAAATAATACGTGTTATTTTTTATTTTTTTGCACTGTATAATGCCTCCATCCCCATTGGTTTCTGTGTGTGTTATATGCACAGGCACCCTATATGTTAAAAATGCAGTAGTCCATACAGCACCCATATAAAATAGCTATCATTACTGTTTCTATTTTCCAGATGGGTAATGAGGAATCAGGGCTCTGGGAAGTTTAGCCTCCTTCCCTAAAGTCACACAACTAAGGAAGTGTCTGACAGATGCCTGGTTCTAGAACCGGAACCCAGACACACTGTGCAGTGTCTGTTCTGCTCTGTTTCCCTGTGAGTCTCCAGCATGTAGCATACAGTCTTACATGGGATCACGTCATTTTTGACTCAGCGACCCACATGACAGTCGAACTGCCTGCAGTCTACCCAATTGTGACCATCACTGAAGTAGATTTGTCAGGGCTTTCTCCCGTGGAACCGCTGGGTGGGTTTGAACTGCCAACCTTTGAACTTTTGGGCTAGCATTTAACAGCTTTAGCCACTTGCTCCACCAAAACTCCTTTAACACATAGTAGGCCTCAGAAAATACTTGTTAAACAACAGGCTGATTGAAGGAAAGATAAAAATGCTTTTTAGTGACTTAATTCTTAGGCAGTAGGAAATGAATAATGACCTACTGCTTTTTTTTTTCTCCGCCCCCTGTAGCGGGGATTGGACCCCTGGGGCATGAAGACAAGTGCTCAGCTGTTCTGTTCCTGGCTGTTTGGGCAGGACCCTTCCAAGGCAGAGTCATGGCAGCAGCGGCAGCCTCTCACTTGAACCTGGACGCCCTCCGGGAGGTGCTGGAATGCCCCATCTGCATGGAGTCCTTCTCTGAGGAGCAGCTGCGGCCCAAGCTGCTGCACTGTGGCCACACCATCTGCCGCCAGTGTCTGGAGAAGCTGCTGGCCAGCAGCATTAATGGCGTCCGCTGTCCCTTTTGCAGCAAGATCACCCGCATCACCAGCCTGACCCAGCTGACGGACAACCTCACAGTACTGAAGATCATCGACACAGCCGGACTCAGTGAGGCCGTGGGGCTGCTCATGTGCCGGGCGTGTGGGCGGCGGCTGCCCCGGCAGTTCTGCCAGACCTGCGGTGTGGTGCTGTGCGAGGCTTGCCGCGAGGCTGACCACCAGCCCCCCGGCCACTGCACGCTCCTTGTGAAGGAGGCAGCCGAGGAGCGGCGCCGGGACTTTGGCGAGAAGTTGACCCGCTTGCGGGAGCTGATGGGGGAGCTGCAGCGGCGGAAGGTCGCCTTGGAAGGTGTCTCCAAGGACCTGCAGGCGAGGTATAAAGCGGTTCTCCAGGAGTACGGGCACGAGGAGCGCAGAGTCCAGGAGGAGCTGGCCCGCTCCCGGAAGTTCTTCACAGGCTCCTTGGCCGAGGTCGAGAAGTCCAACAGTCAAGTGGTGGAGGAGCAGAGTTACCTGCTGAACATTGCCGAAGTGCAGGCCGTGTCTCGCTGTGACTACTTCCTGGCCAAGATCAAGCAGGCCGACGTGGCCCTGCTGGAGGAAACAGCTGACGAGGAGGAGCCAGAGCTCACTGCCAACCTGCCCCGGGAGCTTACCCTGCAGGACGTGGAGCTCCTCAAGGTAGGCCATGTCGGCCCCCTCCAAATTGGGCAGGCTGTGAAGAAGCCCCGCACAGTCAACATGGAGGATTCCTGGGCCATGGAGGCTGCGGCCTCTGCGGCCTCCCCCTCGGTTACATTCCGTGAGATGGACATGAGCCCCGAGGAGGTGGTGACCAGCCCACGGTCCTCCCCTGCTAAGCAGCGGGGCCCCGAGACGGCCTCCGGGATCCAGCAGTGTCTCTTTCTCAAGAAGATGGGCGCCAAAGGCAACACACCAGGCATGTTCAACCTTCCCGTCAGCCTCTACGTGACCAGCCAAGGAGAGGTGCTGGTTGCTGACCGAGGCAACTACCGTATACAGGTCTTCACCCGCAAGGGCTTCCTGAAGGAGATCCGTCGCAGCCCCAGCGGCATCGACAGCTTCGTGCTGAGTTTCCTTGGGGCCGATCTGCCCAATCTCACGCCTCTCTCGGTGGCCATGAACTGCCACGGGCTGATTGGTGTGACCGACAGCTATGACAACTCCCTGAAGGTATACACTTTGGATGGCCACTGCGTAGCCTGTCACCGGAGCCAGCTGAGCAAGCCCTGGGGCATCACGGCCCTGCCGTCGGGCCAGTTTGTGGTGACTGATGTGGAAGGCGGGAAGCTCTGGTGCTTCACTGTCGACCGAGGAGCCGGGGTCGTCAAGTACAGCTGCCTGTGCAGTGCGGTGCGGCCCAAGTTCGTCACCTGTGATGCCGAGGGCACCGTCTACTTCACCCAGGGCCTGGGCCTCAACCTGGAGAACCGGCAGAACGAGCACCACCTCGAGGGCGGCTTCTCCATCGGCTCTGTGGGCCCTGATGGGCAGCTCGGCCGCCAGATCAGCCACTTCTTCTCGGAGAACGAGGATTTCCGCTGTATTGCTGGCATGTGTGTGGACGCCCGCGGGGACCTCATTGTGGCCGACAGTAGCCGCAAGGAAATTCTCCACTTTCCCAAGGGTGGGGGCTACAGTGTCCTTATCCGAGAGGGCCTCACCTGTCCAGTGGGCATTGCCCTCACTCCGAAGGGGCAGCTGCTGGTCTTGGACTGTTGGGACCACTGCATCAAGATCTACAGCTACCACCTGCGGAGATACTCAACGCCATAGCAGAGAAACAGCGCAGCCAGCTTCCCTCCCTTGTGCTGGGTGGTGGTTGGTGGTGTAGAGTAGGCGCAGTGTGTACCCTGATCCCAGCTGCTTGGTCCTAGAGTTTTAGAAGCACTGCCTTTTCCTGTTCTTCCTCCTTGTGTTGACAGATGCATTTTCCCACTGGGACACACAACTTGGTTAGCTGAAATTCCATTAGATGTCGAGCACCTCTGAAGCTTCCATAGGGAGAGCCACTTTGGCCTTTTTTATAGATAGAGATGTTCCCGAGTGTTGATCCCTTGCTGTTGTCCCTCTCTTTTGGCTTGATGTCTCTGACCTGTTCCCTGCTTCTTACAACTTGCTTCACCTTTGATATACCCGCACCCCCCACCCCCAGCCTGCACTCCCTGTGCATGCCCCAGTGGAATCCTCTCCACTGACATTTCAGGCACCATTCCCCTTGGCGTGGTGCCTCTGGTCTGATCACCTTAGCCAGTGTGAACGCTCGATCACACAGTGCCGCCATGTGAGATCAACAGCCCTTGAGGGAAGGAAGCAATGCTGCTTGGCTGGGGGATTCGGGCCACCTGGATTGTCCTAATTGTAGATGTGCCAGAAAACAGACTGACCCTAGTTGGTTAACGCTTAAGGCTTCTGCTGGGAAAGAGCTTGCCTTGTAAAGGAGCGTGGGGATTGGAATTAGGTCAAAGATCAGAAAAATGGGAGTAAGCAAACATGAACGTGAATGTAGTCAGTGAACCCTCTCGGGGGGAGGGGGGGTGTCTCTGGGCACATCCTTTTCATACTACCTCTCTCCACTGACCTGTGCTAAGACTGTACATACAGATCAGGGCCAGCAGCGTGGGGCAGTGGACACATCTCATTTTCAGTACTAAAGCCAACAGAACAAAGCAGTTGGGCTTCACTCTGTATTTTCTCCAAGTGAGTATATTTGCGGTTGAGGGTGGGGTGCTATTTCCATTCTCCTTCACATTAAAGAATTGATGACTTTCTTCTCAACTGGTGTCTGTGCTTTTTGATTAAGTAGTGGATTTGAGGGGGAGAGGGAGAGCTTTTGTACTGTGCCATTTTGCTTCAGTATTTCCATGCTGCATTCTTTGATGGTGTAACCAACACAAGGATCCCCTCCAGTCAAAACCCAGCCCAGAGCACCAAGGTTCAAAGGTAATCCAGAGGGAAGATTCAGAGTCCATTTCATACCTGGTCTTAAAATAAGCCTTGGCTATCTGTTTTTTTAGAATTGCAGTTGAGAAAAGGAAGTGGCAAGCTTGTGGGTGAAAGAATTTGTGAGTGGTTTCTTGGGCCTTGGTGCTGACTGAGCCACATGGCTAGCTTGTTAGCTGCAAGGGTTCCGGCAGCCTAGGGTGCTGTGCTCCCTGGCTTTCAGAGGAACAAGTTATTGGGCTGTGCCACTCAGTAAACCGTGTGTGTGTCTGTGTGCGTGCACACTTCTGTTGTAACAGCTGCCAAACCATAGGAAACGGGCACTTAAGGTGATCTTGAGCAAGTTTATCTAACTTTTCACCTGCAGAAAATCCTGTGCTTTAAATATGAAATTGCGTCTCATTTTCAAAGATGGTGCAGTGAAGAGGAAATTGAACCTATTAAAAGTGCATCACGAATGACTCCCCGTATTGTGAAAGCCACTTTATCTGTGGGGCACTGGGCAGCAGGGGCTCTGTGTCTGGTCAGCCAGTTGGGGTGGCTGAGGGCCTTGGTACTTAGTTTGCAGTGGAGGGAGGAGAATACTGCTTTGTGTTGGCTGGAGATGGGTGAGGCCATGGCTCCTCCAGCTGCCAGTGCCCCAAGTGTCACTCAGCATTTCTGTCTGTCTCCATCTGAACCATACTTGGGTTCTGGCTCTCCAGTATGGAGCATAACCCCAAGAAATAAATTTACTCAAAACATTTTTGTCTTTTCTTTTTTTTTTAAAGCAGCGTATACCCTTAATCCAATAAAGTCTTCCATGAAAGTGGAACATGTAAAATAAAAAACAAACATTTACTTTGGTGGAAGCAAGTTTGTGTGCCCTGTCTCCTCACTTGCTAACGTGTGGCACCACCGCACAACCCTGGCGAGGCTGCCCAGCACGTGCTGCTAACCACTGGATTAATGTTGCTCATACCGCACGCACCCCGCCTCGCGCCTCAAGGCCTGGAGCAAGTCATGGAACCCCTCTGAGCCTGAATGTCCTCATGGCAAATGAGCAGTATGACCCCTGTCTGCTGAAGCAGGTCCAGAAGGGAGCTTACTTAGAGCTGTGGCAAACCTGGCTCCGTTGGTGTTTGGTGTTCAATAAGTGTAACCTTTCTAAATTGGTCAGAATGCTTGCTGATGGGAGGTGGTCCCTTGACCAAAAGAGTGGCCGATTGACAATCAAAATCTCCCTTTTTTCTGCTGCTGCCCCTGCCCGCAGGTCTTCAAGTAAACCGTATCCTCTCTTTCTGTGTACTGTCTACCCATTCAGTATTCATTACGGCTTCAGTCGTTTTGTGTTGTGATTCTCGATGCCCCTGGGTTTCTGCCACTCTGCTCTATAGAAGACTGACTAATCTTTAGCAACGGTGCCTGGCAGATTGTCCTCAGGTGGCAGTGGTTCCCCTCCCTAACCCTCTCACGATTGGGTTTTGATCCTTTGGACCAAAAGGGAATTCCAAGACAGGCCGTCGAGTAAGGAAAACAAACGACTGACTAGTCAAAGCCTCTACTGCCTTTTACTATTAGGGGCTTCAAAACATTTGTGAAAACGTTCAGTTTCGCTTCTTTTTCCACAAGCTTTTTGAGACTCCCTTGTTATACTGTCTAAAAGACCGGAGCCGTGAGTGAGATGGACCGTTTCATTTCATGCAGCATACGTTCAGTCAGTATTTATGAAGCGCCTACTGTGGGTCAGGCAATAGGCCAGGATACAGACTTAGGATAAATGACAAGGTGGCTGCTTGCTCATAAACTGCCTCATCCTTTCTTAACACAAAGCATTTGACATACAGTTTTCTCTTGCCCTGGACTCCTTTGGAGGCCAAGTGAGTGACCGTGAGGGTCTGTCCCGGAGATGGTCAGCAGAGGGACACTCCGTTATTCCAGTCAGGATAAACCTGGCTGGAGTCTACAGTGTTCCTGTGGGCTTAAGTTGTACTTTTAATCTAATGCTAATTAACGGCCTCTTCAAAGTGGCGGGTTAGCCAGCTCTGTGGGAAGGGAAGGGAAGGGAAGGGAGAGCACAGCAGTGTCAGGCCCTGTGCTGTGCTTTGAACCTGACTGGGAGGTTAATTTGCACTCAGGACCCATTGCCCCTCAGGGGGAGGTCAGAACAAATTACAGATAGGAAACCTCGGTGCCTGCAGGCATTTTACAAGCAGAGCAGCTGCGAGGTAGGAAGCTGTTGAGCAAAATAGACACTTAAGACTGCAGACCTACAGCTTTATCTTGTCGATAGTATTAATATTCATGAGCCTCTGGGCAAGTCTGGAGTTAGCGGAGGCAGGTAAGGGCCTGGCAGTGTGTTCAACTGAGAAGGTCACTGGGCTGACCAAATCATAGCTCTACCTCTTCACTGCTGGCGTGACCTCACGGGATCAGTACCTTTGTGCCTCAGTTTCCTTATCTATAAAACAGGAGGTTGGGCTACCCATTAAAATCCATTCTCAATTCATGATTCAAATTAACGTGAAAAAAAAAGCTACAATGGTGCTGAATCTGCTCTCCCAGGTTTTGACACATTCTGTATCATGTCAGTATAGTGCGTTTGCATGAGAGTGGTAGAAAGAAGCTACCCTTTAGAATGACCTCCACTGTTTGTCCCAATGCTCACTCTGCGTCTGTTATTGTGACTAGGGTCGCTTACTAGCCATTGTCACCCTATAGAGCTGTAGTTTCCTTTATGTGCTGAAGGCTGTGGTGAGAACTAGAAATACGAAATGCAATGATACATGGAAAAGTAACAATTAGAAATTGAGTTGCGCTGGAGGGGACAAAGGCTTCATTCACTTCCTGGGGAGTAGAGGCAGATCCTTCCGGGATCTACACTCAGGGCGTTGGTGATGCCACAGCACAGACTGCTCACGTGCAAACTTAAAAAGGCTACTGGAGAGGATTCGCTGGAAGGGTAGACATTCACCATGTTCCTACTGGGAAAGTCCACCCAGCCTACCTAAAGGCTAGTTATGTGATCAACATAGGTCTTAGGATGGCATCTTGGCGAAACGGAATCAAAGTATCAAAATATGTGTGTGTATGCCTTATACATGTTACCAGGACAGTCCAGTCGCTGAAAAAAAAGGGCATCATGCTTGATAAAATGGTGGGTCCGTGAAAAGGAGGAAGACTCCCTGAGTTAGACTGACAGTGGCAGCTGCAATGGGATCTAACATAAGACTTGTGAGGATGGTATAGGACTGAGCACTATGGCTTCCTGTTGCACACAGGGTTTCTGAGTAGGAACCCGAAATAGTTTTATTGTGCCAACTAGGCCCATAGGAATATGTGGGTTGAGTTTAATCAGGTTGAAGCTTGATTGAAGGACAACCTAGATAAATGCTTTCTGAGATGAGCATCCTGCCTCTTTACCCGGTGATTGGACCAGTGTGCTTCTAGTTCTTCACCTCAAAGTGTGTGCTGCACTACCTGTGAGCCAAGCCAACCCGTGGATCCTGCCATTGCTAGAGCTCAAGATCCCATGGGGCCTTCTTGGCTCCCACTCTACAGACTG